ACAGGCCAGAAACTTTGACAGTTCAGGGCCTCTCTCTCTTTCTCTGAAAGAGATAACAGTCCAGACTAGGAGGTGGGTGGACGGGGCCCAGGGCCTGGCGGCTTTGCGCTTCCTCTCTTGCTTGAGACCTACCTGGGGTCCTTCAGGGAATTCGTGGCCGAGGTGGAAGCAGACATCTGAGGACGGGGTTCTCCCCTACCACCCCTGTAACCAGCCACACGCTACCCACCCCCCCCACCCCCCCCGCCCTGTTGTGCTTCTTGAGCTTGTAGCCTCATCCACAAACTTGTCATAAAGCGCCCAGGTCGCAGGCTGGCTCTGAGCACGACTCTAAAGCGGATGCCGGCAGGATGGGTCCGTGGTGACCAGTATTCGTGTGGACCACGGCAGTGCCCATAACTCCCTGTGTGCCGCCCAAGCCCGAGGAAAATGCTCATTCCCGGCCAGGTCACGCAGGCTCCTGTCCCCGTGCCCTCCCTTACAGTCTCTTTCGCTCCATCTGTGGGGAGGCCTCTTGCCCGGGTTCCCACTGCAAAGTTCAGCTCAAGAGTCACCTTGTGCACCCATCCTTTCCCGACTCTTCCCCTCAAGGGGACAGGGACTGGGTTTGGGTCCCCCTGTGACTACTCGTTTTATGAACCTAACCGGCCACTTCTGGGGAGCTCACCAAAGATGCCACCTGTCTGTTCCCATCTCCCTCTGACCCCAGTACTGCTGCTTTTTTTGTTTATTTTTTTGGTGGCCATCAACACATCTCACTTTAACTTGCCCTTCCAACACCCACAGTCTGAGGCCTCTCTGGGCCTCCATTATTTCATCTCTAAAATGGGGACATTAATGCTTGTCCTTCCTGCCTTACAGCTCCTCTCCTCTAGGGTTGCCTTCTCCAGCAGCAGCTTCTTAAGCCTTCCCTGAAGGAATCAAGCAGGCAGGCGGGGGCCTTTGACAGGGGACAGGTGAGGAAAAGTAAGGAGAACAGGCCAGAAATCTCTGGCCTCCCCGTAGGGCAGACACAATCAACACCTGGAAGCTGCAGGAGAGGCAGAATTGTCAGCGTCCCCCTCACCGCAAAAGCTCTTGGGTTCGTGGCTTTCCTGCTTGTGGCATCTGAGAGCTGCTCCAAGCCTGCGGTGCCCAGGAGCAGACAGCCCCTGTCATGTGACCTTGGTGTCCCCTGCGTCACCTGTGAGCAGGGAGCAAGCCCAGGTGAGGAGCCCTAGAGAACAGTTGTCAGCAGGTAAAAGCAAATGTTGACCCTGTGGGGAGGTCAAGGGCAAGGGGCTGTGAGAAGCGAGAGGGGGAGGAAGCCGCGAGGGAGGGGGCCGCTCCCCAGCTGCGCACTCCCCTCCCCACCCCACCCCCCTGCAGCTGTGCTGGAAAGAACCTGGGCTCTGAGGTCAGGGCTGGGATGGGAGGAAGAGCACAGCGGCCGAGAAGGAAGCAGAAGCATGCGCTCTGTCTACTTCTCACTTGCCGCTTTCCGGGCTGGTCTGTTATGATTGTTCCAGGATGTGGCCCAGGGGGGTTCATTTCCTTTCTTCCACCTTGTGATAACAATGGCCACTGTTTGTGTGCCCACAGTCGGCCAGCATCCTGGACACTTTCCCTCCGTTGTGTCATTTCACCCTCACGCCCACCCTGGAAGGCTGGGAGGGAGCCAGGCCCGTCCTTTCGGTGGCCAGGCTGCCGTCCAGGTGTGGGAGGCAGCCCTAAACCGCCAGCCCCGGGGACCCTGAGGAAGGTGCCTCTCCCCTGGGGCGGGATGACTTCCTTCCGTCCAGCTGGATCCCCGCCGTGGTTCTCCCCTAAACCCCAAGTGGGTTCATGGGTGCTAGTGCTCCTGATGCCCCCCAGGAGGTGCCTGGGAGCACCTCGCCTCTCCCGGTACCTCCTGCCTGCTCTCTGGGAAGCCTCTGTGCTGCTTTTCTAGGCTGGGCCTGACCCCCGGGCCCCCATCTCCCCAGACCTGGGCCCCAGGGGCTCAGCCTACACTCTTACTTTCTTTTTTTTTTTTTTAAAGATTTTATTTATTTATTTGAGAGAGAGAGAATGCGAGAGAGAGAGCAGGAGAGGGGGGAGGGTCAGAGGGAGAAGCAGACTCCCTGCCGAGCAGGGAGCCCGATGTGGGACTCGATCCAGGGACTCCAGGATCATGACCTGAGCCGAAGGCAGTCGCTTAACCAACTGAGCCACCCAGGCGCAAGACTACACAAGTCTTACTTTCTTTAACAAATAGAATCATTTAAAAAAAGAAGAAGAAGCATTTTCCATACCATTTGATAAACAGGAAAAAGAAAACAAAATGGCCCATAAACCCAATAGCCTCATAGTATTTTGGTATTTTTCTGTCACCCTTATTTTTTGTGGCATAATTTTCCCTCAGCTAAATTATGTTTTAACAGACTTTCTAGGGGCCAAACCTGTGCGGGGGGTGAGTGTACAGAGGGGAAAAGACTGAGTATTTGCCCTTAAAAAGCTCCGACGATCTAGAACCAGCTGTCTGGCTCTAATTCTTGCTCCTTCACCTACTAGCTGTGTGACGTAGGGCCCATTACTTTACCTCTCTGTTTCTTTATTTTCTCATATGTAAAATCAGGATAATGTGACAATCTCGTAGGGTGGTGGTGCAGATTTTTTTGAAAGATTTTATTTGAGAGAGAGAGCATGCAAGCAGGGGGAGGAGCAGAGAGAGAGGGAGAGAGAATCTCAAGCAGACTCCACGCTGAGATCATGACCTGAGCCGAAATCAAGAGGCAGGCACCTAACCGACTGAGCCACCCAGGCGCCCCAGGGTGGTGGTCCAGATGAAAGATTAGTATATGTAAAGTTCTTGGACCAGGACCAGAGCACAGAGAGGCACATGAGTGTTCGGTGTGATTAGTGTGATTAAGTGTACGTCTGGCAGGAGGATGAAGGAGAGGAAGGACGTATCAGACAAGTCAACATGGAGAGGGAAGGAGGTGCGAGGCAGCATTGCTTTCTGCAATCATGCATGACAGGGTGGGACCAAGGGGGAGAAGCTGCACGGGGAGGCAGGGGCCTTGCAGGCCGAGCTCACAGCCCACAACCAGCACAGAGAGCACCGTGGACTTGATGCCCCAGAGTCTGTAATACCACCATGTGCTTCCTGAGTTCCTCAATCACAG